TATCCACATCTCATGCGCATGCTCCTGAGCTGCACAAGCCGCAGTGGATGTAAGCTCGGGTTACTGGTAGCCTAGGAGCTTGTGTCATTCCCAGGTGAGGTCACCCCCCTTTAGCGGTGGCTGACATTTTGCTCCTAGTGAATGGTCTTGTTGCAAACCACACTATAATGATTGGGGCTGACGGATACCCCTAGCCGGCCAGTAACCTGCGCTTACACCCAATGTGTCTCATGTGAAAGGCACATGCAATACTTAATTACACCGGGCTTGCCCTGGCGTGCCTTAAGGGGGCGGGCTGTGGTGAAGGTTGACGGGTTCCCCCTCCACTGTACATCCTTCACCACATGTACAGCAATGGAGTAGTAGCTAGTGGTATTTTGGTGGGCGTTGGCCTCCTGGGTCTTCTTGGGGGAGGACTCGTTCCATCCACCTTCGGTGCCTCACTATGGCGTTGAGAAAGCTGACAGCATTGTCATGCAGCTCATCATCACAGCATGCATGTGCGGTGAGTGTGTTGACACCCAGGGCAAGTAGGAGTGGGTGCAGATACTGCGTAATGTTTAACTGAATAAAGGCACATGCACTTAAGCTTGGCCAGCAGGTGGCTGGCTGTGTGGGAGCGGTGAGCCAACACTTGCGAGCTATTAAATGAAAGGGCTGCTGTCGATTATACACTGCTTGCACACTGAACTCTGCACCTACCACAGCGACCCCTTGACAACCCTACCCAACAAGATTATTACAGGGTCAGACCCCAATCACATTTACATACCGTCTGCTAATTAACACACGATTGATAAGGATCCCGGAGTGAAGGGTACCCTGGAAGACATCACAAAAACCGCACCGACTTCTGTGCCTACCATGGTGAATAATGTGCAGCCAGCCACGCACACACACACACACGAGTGGGCTAATATCTTTCAGACCAACACGGGGCCTTTGCAATGAGATATAAACTGATAGAACTGTGCCTATGAAAACGGCTCTCTACAAAAGTACAATAGTGGCATTTTGCTTTGGGCGTCCGACTTGCTGCCATAACTGAGCATCAGCGGCTCTTGCGTGCACACTTCTGAATTGCACACGCTTGCGGTAGGAACAGCCCATTGAGAATGCCAGGAATGGAGGAATGGAGCAACATGGGTCTCGGCGGTGGAGAGTTCAGTGCAGATTCCACAAACAAGCTTTCAGATGGTAGGCAACTGCTGCTTCACCGCCACGTGGCTAGCCATCATGCTATATATAGGGCTACTATCCACATCTCATGCGCATGCTCCTGAGCTGCACAAGCCGCAGTGGATGTAAGCTCGGGTTACTGGTAGCCTAGGAGCTTGTGTCATTCCCAGGTGAGGTCACCCCCCTTTAGCGGTGGCTGACATTTTGCTCCTAGTGAATGGTCTTGTTGCAAACCACACTATAATGATTGGGGCTGACGGATACCCCTAGCCGGCCAGTAACCTGCGCTTACACCCAATGTGTCTCATGTGAAAGGCACATGCAATACTTAATTACACCGGGCTTGCCCTGGCGTGCCTTAAGGGGGCGGGCTGTGGTGAAGGTTGACGGGTTCCCCCTCCACTGTACATCCTTCACCACATGTACAGCAATGGAGTAGTAGCTAGTGGTATTTTGGTGGGCGTTGGCCTCCTGGGTCTTCTTGGGGGAGGACTCGTTCCATCCACCTTCGGTGCCTCACTATGGCGTTGAGAAAGCTGACAGCATTGTCATGCAGCTCATCATCACAGCATGCATGTGCGGTGAGTGTGTTGACACCCAGGGCAAGTAGGAGTGGGTGCAGATACTGCGTAATGTTTAACTGAATAAAGGCACATGCACTTAAGCTTGGCCAGCAGGTGGCTGGCTGTGTGGGAGCGGTGAGCCAACACTTGCGAGCTATTAAATGAAAGGGCTGCTGTCGATTATACACTGCTTGCACACTGAACTCTGCACCTACCACAGCGACCCCTTGACAACCCTACCCAACAAGATTATTACAGGGTCAGACCCCAATCACATTTACATACCGTCTGCTAATTAACACACGATTGATAAGGATCCCGGAGTGAAGGGTACCCTGGAAGACATCACAAAAACCGCACCGACTTCTGTGCCTACCATGGTGAATAATGTGCAGCCAGCCACGCACACACACACACACGAGTGGGCTAATATCTTTCAGACCAACACGGGGCCTTTGCAATGAGATATAAACTGATAGAACTGTGCCTATGAAAACGGCTCTCTATTAAGTACAATAGTGGCATTTTGCTTTGGGCGTCCGACTTGCTGCCATAACTGAGCATCAGCGGCTCTTGCGTGCACACTTCTGAATTGCACACGCTTGCGGTAGGAACAGCCCATTGAGAATGCCAGGAATGGAGGAATGGAGCAACATGGGTCTCGGCGGTGGAGAGTTCAGTGCAGATTCCACAAACAAGCTTTCAGATGGTAGGCAACTGCTGCTTCACCGCCACGTGGCTAGCCATCATGCTATATATAGGGCTACTATCCACATCTCATGCGCATGCTCCTGAGCTGCACAAGCCGCAGTGGATGTAAGCTCGGGTTACTGGTAGCCTAGGAGCTTGTGTCATTCCCAGGTGAGGTCGGGTGGGTTAGGAAAGGTACCCAGGCGGGTAAGAGGGATCCTAGTTGGTTGATTCAGTAGGTGGACAGCAACCGAACAAGGGCCATGCATTCCAGGTATACCACGCAGCTCGTGAGTCCGTGTTCCAATGCCAATGCCCCAACATCACCAGCCATGCTCGACAACTTACTTAATGCTTTACGGCGACGTGTTATGCATATTAGTCTTCGTATCGATGATAACCATGTCGATACGTACCAGTACAGTCTGCTGCACCGGGCATTCGCTCCCGGTCAAAACGTCCATTAGCTCCTCCTTTGCTGCGTTGAACTCCTCGAAGCCCGGCTTCCCCACAAGAGATAGCTTTTCCGCTTGAAATAATGCACTGCTGAGAACCGGCTTAGTTGCTTCCTCGCTGAAGCATGGGCGGCCCTGTTTGTATGCGACATCAAGCAGTGCCTTCTCCCTAAACATCTGCATAGTCTAGTATATATAAGTTATGAATCGACTATCCTTGAAAGTTGCACGCGCTCTTTGTCGATGTGTAGTTGAGTAGGACAGGAGCAAGCAATGGGGAGAGGTTCGCATGTGAACCGCGAGTACAGGCAAAACAAAGTTGACCGAACCTGAACCGTAATACAGAAAACTGCTTAAATGGCTGTTGCTGGATGTAAGAAGAGTGGCGAGTGATGAGTGACGACGCATGTCGGTGATGCTGATGGTGTCGGAATAAACTAAAATACTACCGAGAACTAAAGTCCGCTGACCAAAGCTCGACGCCGGGAGCCCCCGCTCTGGACACGCAGACGAGACACCACAATGCTGTGCATGCGTGCGTGCATACGCGCATTGCGTACCTGCGAGCAAAGACGCCGTAGTCAGCACCAGAACCAGCAGCCGCAGTAATGCGAGTAATGCCATGCGCAGAAGCATGAACCAGAGCGAGGAAAGGGGGACAGAGTTAGAGACAAAATGAACCTATATCTAAGTGCGAAATGTACGGCAAAACAGGATGGCATGCGATACAGGACGAAAAACAAGCACAGCACAACATGAATGCAAATGCAGAAGACAAAAACAAACACAACCGGCGTGAGTGGTCGAGCAGACGCTGAGCTGTGGCTGCAGCGGTCAGCTGAACCGCACTGAGAAGTAGCGTTGTCTAAAAACAAGACGACGGTAGCGTTGTCTAGGAGCAAGCTGACGGTGCAATGGTATGCGTGCAGCGAACAGGCAAAGGCCAGCAGAGGGGCACGGCCGTGTGGGATGCGGTGCAGTGCAGTGGGGAGTGACCGGGCTCGAAGGAGAGCACCCCAGATGCTTACATGCCACAGGGCAAAGCAAAAGCGGCAGGGCCGCAACAAACCCCCCAAAACCCCCCGAAAAACAAAAACAGCACTACAACAAAGACCAACGACCACAACGACCACAACAAAACCCCGCCCCTCTCCCAAGCCCGAGACGACCTAAAAATCCCGACCCTGCTCAGCCTGCCCGGCTGCAGAAAAAACAACCTAAACCCAAAAACACGCGACCACGCAACCACACCGTGCCCCGGGCCGTACCGCGACAAAGGGCAACCTAAAACTGCCACGGCACGACCCACCGTCAGTGGACCGCATAACCACCAGCCAACCCGCTAGCCTAAGGTCCGCAAACCCTGCCGCCGCTGAACTGGACGCCACGGCCCACGAAAGCGACGGCGCAGGTCCGAAAGCCCAAAGCGTCCGTAAGCCCAGAGCTGTTGCTGTATCTGCCGTCATGACCGCTGCTGCTGCCACAGAGCAACCATAAGAGACAACAAGGCGTTAGGAAGGGAGGAGCGTACGCTGCAGCTGTGACCAACGGGGGTGGTGAGGGAGGAGGTGAAGGTGTAGCCGGAAGAACCGACGGAGGGCGAGGAGAAGGAAAGGACGTGGATAACCGCGGAGATGGAGGTGGCGCATAGCATCTTGGGCGGCGGAGGTGAAGGCGGAGGCGGTGGAACTGAACCGAGCGTGCTCTTTGTCGATGTGTGCGTAACAACGCCTTCTAGCTGGGCTCTGTTCACGCACTGGACGCTACGTATGTACATGTACAAGGAACTAATACAGTAGTGGAATGCAAAGCGAGTTACCAAGCAATAATAGCCCAGACGATCCAGCTGTCGTACCAAACATGAACACAAACTTTGTGTGTCAAGTTAACGACAGTTCGCCAATATTCTCGCATCCTCCACCACAGCGGCCCTATCTGGTTATTCTGTAACTGTCATAACGAGCGCTGGCACAACGTACACTGTCCACACAGCCTAGGTTTCAAGCAATGGATACCACCACCAAAATTCCGGGATTGACCCTGAAGCGCTGCCGCCCTACACCTGAATGGGAATGCACGGCTTGCACGGTCCGTATCACCAGGGCGGACAAAGCCAAAAGGCACGTCAGGTCTTGCAAGATGCAAGGTAGCACCCTGCTGCTTCAGCCCCAGCCTCCCCCTGCGGCTCCTGCCCACGTTGCTGCTGCCCCCGCTCCTGATGAGCAACCATTCGAAGCCCTCGACCAGCCCCTTCCCGACCAACACATGGAACGTAAGTACATGGCTTTCCCCATGAAATACACATTCTTCTACATGGTAGCGGCACCCTGCCTGTAGCAATACTGTTACACTGAGACCCCATGACCCTGTGACCCTGCACACCTGCAGTCGACCCGCCAGCTGGCTTGCCTGAGCCCGCTGCTGAGGGCTCTCCAAGGCTAACCGAGGCACAGCAGGACGCTATGCTTGCCATCTTCCATGTAGAGGACGACAATGATATGGCAGGTGAGAGTGGGAAGGTCCACGTTGTTTAACCAGTGCGAGCATGGATTGACATCATCCATAACGCAGGTGGCGAAGCTTATCCGCCTGGGGATGACATGGAGCCGAGTGAGAATGGATACCCAGCGGACCCTGACGATCCAGTTAACATCTATGCGGAAATACTTAGCGCCTATGCCGACGTTCTGGAAGGAGGGGCAGCCGAATCACCCAATAACGACGTGGGCATGGTCGACGAGGCCGCCGAGCACCCTGCCAACATCCGCAGCTGTGCCTGTGGGTGCGACATGCCGTATCTGACACCAGGGACAAGACCGTACTTTGAGGCCCATCTGGATAAGCCGCTTTGGGTAGTTAGGCACCCGTTCAGCGGCGAGGTTATCGTGCAATGCACCCACACCCTTCGACAGAAATTGAACGGCCTAATGGGCCACATACAAGAGCACGGGCCCAGGCGGGAACAGCTGGAATCCCAGCTGCGATTAGAGTCCTGTAGTTTGCCCCCTGGCAACACACTGCCCACGTCCCTCTACATGATCACTGAGCTCTCCGGTGCCCCCCGTTGGAAGGAGTACGAATACCATGTCTGCAGTGATGAGCGCTGCACCGGCCACCTGTTCGGGAAGCCACCCAACGATGGAAGCGCGCAGGAAATGGAGTGCCCCCACTGCGGCAAGCCGCGTTACAAGACCCTTCAGCTCGGCGGTGCGTACACTGGGGTGTTATGCATATGTACAGGCATGTGCAAGTCTTAACCACCTTCCTATGTATGCAGGCAAGACAGTTACTGAGCCCGCCAGCTGGTTCGTATATTTTGGAGTAGAGGAGGTCATCCGGTCGGAGTTCTTTGGAAACCCGGAATTCTGCAAGCAGCGTGGAAACTTTAGGGGCGAGGACGCACCGGGATCATCCATGTGGCATGGTGATTGGGCCAACAGGGCGCGGTCTTACAAGGATGGTGTTATTTTCCAGCACGACAGTTCCATTTACGACATTGGCATCGACTGGATAACCCCTTACAACTCCACCCAGCACAGTGTCGGCATTGTCTTCATCCGGTGCGCCGACGTCAATCCACGTGACAAGGGCAAGAGCTGGAACCAGCATGTCATCGCCATCATTCCCGGGCCGCGGATTCCCAGCACCCTTAACCCTTACATGAAGATTATAGTGGACGACCTGAAGCGCTTGGGCAGGAATGGCATGGCGGTGACGGAGCGCTGGGTGGATGATAGTGGGCAGCCCCACACCCGTTCGTTCACGCACCGAGTGTTCCTGGCCACAATCCTTGCGGACACACCCGCCCGGGTGAAGGTGTGCAACGGCAACGGCCAGAACTCTTACAGCGGTGTACTTATTGCGACTTCGAGGGGACAGGCGAGGCCAACGCAGGCCGTGGTTGCACGGTCCGGTTCCGGGGCTACAAGACTGCTGTAAAGCACCAATTCGTGGCCGGGTGGGTAACCATAAAATGCCCCTTTCGTGCTGTATCAGCTTTTTACGGAAGGAGTTCTTAACACCTGAACCATTCTGCTCGTAGGCTGGCAGGGCAGTCGCTACAGGTTGGGGACCCTCGCCTCCATGCTCCACACGACGTCCTAAAAAAATGAGGCGTGGCCATGCAGAACCTCAAGAGGCGCATGCTGCTGGGAAAGCCAGGCGAAGACCTCCTCTCTCAGGAGGAGTACACGGCAGCGTCTCGTAAGACCGGCTGCAAGGGCGAGAATCCATTTGCGGCGCTCAAGTACTGCGACCTTACTTGTCTTTTCCCTGTGCCAATTGGTCACGCCCTCCTGTTCGGCGTCGTGAGTGACTTCGTAGACTACGTACTGCGACCCTTGAAGGACATCAAGCCATCGGATCCGGACAAGGACATTGTCATGTCCCGGGATGCCCGGCATCAGGTGGCCGCCCGGGGCGCGTACATCACAGTAACCTCGGATTTTGGCCGGCGCTACAAGTGCGTTTTAGCGTACAGGTGTGTGCAGACTGTCCACACTTGTTGCAACTTCCCCTCCCCTCCCTGTGAAGATACCCACCTACCACCGACCCTTATCCTTGCAGAGGGAGCTATCGAATGGAGGACTGGCTCCATTTCGTAGAGACCTTCTCCGCGTACGTCTTGAAAGGTGACGTCCTGCCTGACGTACTGCGGCCTTTGTGGTGGGACCTGTGCGACGCAGTCGTGCACTACTTCCGGCCGCGCCCAGAGGACGAGACACGTGCCGAATTCCTTGCGGCCTCCAAGGCAGCCGCGTCCAAGCTTCACAACTACGCCAGGCGGCTGAAAGAGCTGCGGGTATCAAACCGCATGTTCGCAATCAACCTACACATCTGTGTCTGCCGGTAAGTGGCTAGATTTGATACACATGCTTACACCGGTCACCTGTACTGTTCCCGTTCATACAGCCATGGCGGTTCCGTGTTCTTGCAGGCTTGAGCGGCAAGAGGCCGAGCTTGGCTCGACGTCTGCAATGACCGACATGCCCGTGGAGCGTGTCATGCAGCAGATGAAGAGCCAGGGCGGCCGACGGGTCTCACAGGCCCCAGAGAAGCACTTCGCGCAATGGCTGTGTCTCATGCGCCACGCCAACTCACTTGCTGTACCAGCCGCTGACGCCAACGGTGAAGCCCCCACTGCTCGACAACAGCTTGCAGAGCTGGTGGGACGGCGTCCTAAACCACTGGACGACGCCCGCTTTGATACCATGGGCGGAGATGGCTACCTTGGCATTGGTGCGGCGGTGCATAAGGATGACTCTCGGGTCAAGCAGGTGGAGACTGCTGTAGGAAGCATGGTCAAGTGGTACGCGACTACTCTCCCGGACGTCGGTTCGTGGTCTGCTGGGGCAGCTCGGGGTTACGGCATAAACGCGGACCTGCTTGGTGGCGTCCTCAATGCCGAGCCAACGGGGGCCCCAAAAGCAAGACACTTTGCGCGGGCCGAGGCGCCGGATGAAGAGATGTACCACGGGTCGGAATACAACCGACAACGGCGCCGGGTCACTTGCTGGGCGGCATACAAGGCCGAGGTGACAGAAGGTACAGGCGCGGCCGAGCGTACGGTCGTACGTACGTATGTGGCCCACCTCAAGTACTTCGTACACCTACCAGGTCACGAGACAGCAAAGGACTTGCGGTTTGCGGTTGCTGACGTGTACTCGGCCAAGGAGTTTAGCGGTGGCCTCGTCGTGGTTGACATGGATGCGGCCGCGACAGCAGGGCATGGGAGCACTTGGGAGATGTGGCGTGACTTCGGCATTCCGCTGAGCGAGCTCAAGGGCAAATTCTGCATTGCCGCACCGCAGGGCGACCGGCAGGGCCTCATGTATTTCATGCCGTACACGCACTTCACTGACCGGTGAATGGGAGGGGTGTACTAGTCTGGCGCGGGCCATCCTAGGGCCCTCCCAGGGCAGAAGGAACATTGACTGCAGGATGCACGGATGTTTGTAACGGTGGCGTAGTGCAACCCCGGAACCGCACTTCCCATTGCAGCCACTCACTGCCCCTGAATTGCACAGGGAAGCATGCATGCATAGCAGCCACATCTAGGTAGCACAGGTCCTAAGCAGTCCCCCCTTCCCCTGGCCAGACAGCCAGCAGCGGAAGGGAAGAGAAGCGCAACCGCACTTCCCATTGCAGCCACTCACTGCCCCTGAATTGCACAGGGAAGCATGCATGCATAGCAGCCACATCTAGGTAGCACAGGTCCTAAGCAGTCCCCCCTTCCCCTGGCCAGATAGCCAGCAGCGGAAGGGGATGAACGGAAGGGAACGAAGCGGAACCATTAAAGCCACCCACGTGGGGCTGCCCCTGCCCCTTGCCAGATAGCCAGCAGCGGAAGGGAAGGTAAGCACAACCGCATGTCCCATTGCAGCCACCCACTATTCCTGGAAAGGTCCACCAGTTACACGAGATGGCCATACTTGCTTGCAGTATATCATGTATATCAATATAGTTAGCGAATCGCAATCTGGGGTTTGTAAGTTTACATGCTGTACCACACCGAGTATACTTCAAACTGCGCCCGGACTCTTCCTTTCATAGTCATATCCACATAGCTATTTAGACATACTATACCATTGCGATAGAAAGTCATGTTCACTGGTAAATAGGAATTTAGCTTGTGAGGTCAACAATGGCCTTGGCGACGGGCGCGGCTCCTATGGACGTCAACCTTCCGTCCTTTCCTAAGAACATTATGCTGGAAATAGTATCAAAGTCCGTGGAGGGAACGTGCCTGCATGACAGGCTCCCGCTTGCCATGTGTCCATGGACCGAGGACTCCCTGGCGGCTGCTCTTCAAAACGGTTCAGCTGATACCTTCTTCCTTTATGAAGGTAGGACATATTCCAGTTGCAACACTTGTATGCGGACTTGCAGTAAGGACTCTGTTTAACAATGTCGCTGGTCAATGTTCGCCCACAGAGGGTGGCGCGAGCCAACAGAGTGCGCGGATTGTTGCTAGCATCGCTCTGGTACTTAAGGACCATGTCCTGCGGCGCTTTTGTTGCGGCGCGGATGTCGTGGCGGCATTGGAGGAATTCAAGTGCACCATGCTGGTATGCGGCAGCTTTGCCGTTAACGAGGACGGCAGCATGGTGACTTGGACACTTTCCCACAGCAAGGCGTGCCGTGTGGCAGGAACAGAGCAGTCCGGATATGACGGGTGAGTGTGGAGGGGGTTTGGGACACTTTACGAAATTACACCGTCATAATACGGATCGACAAGCATAAAACGGGGGATTCGGCAGGATTGCAGGCCCATGTTTGCGTAGCTTGCTGGTGCGACATGTTCCTCTGACAAGACGTGTATGGGAACGATCTCCCGGCACTGGGGCTTAGCTGTTTGCAAACCCACCTGTGATGGGCCTATGTGACGTGACCGTGGCGCTGCACCTCCTTGCACAGGCTCACCCGGGTACAGGCGGACAACCTGGCGGCAAGGGCAGCGCCTTCCACCCTCACCAATGCAACGGGGGTCACAGCAGGAACGGAGGCGACCCGCTCAAAAAGTGCCACGATGACATTTGGCAAATTGGAGACGGCCGTGTCTGGGCTACTGGACCCAGCAGTGACCCAATCGCAGCGCATCCAGTATTGCAAAGCAATTGACGCTGAGTGCAGGAACGGCCAGAACTCGTTGGTGAGAGAA